ATATGACCGTTGATTTGTTAACGTTATAGATTACCAACTTATTAGAAATATTTTTTTATTGCTTTTGGAAACGACTTTTTGAAAATAACTTTGATCTTTTTAAAATGGATACCAAATATTTAAGAAAATTGTTAACAGGTTAATATAAAATGTAAAAATATGGTCTATTTACATTTTCAAGGATATGTTTGTTATAAGGTTTAAACTTGTTGGATTATTATTTCTCAGCAGTTTGTGTACAAAGGAAGCCATATGAAGTTTTCGTCTATTAAACATATTAAGCCATCCCAATTCTTTCAATTTGTTTGAAACATGATCTCTAGATGTTAATGTAAAAATCTGATGTGTCCAACACATGACTTTCCTATCTAGTTTTTATAGGCTTTTTCCGGTTATTTTGTACACCCTATGGCAGCATCTCTATAAATGTTTAGAGGATTAAATAAATATATACATTTTCCACATACATCTACCTCGAAATATTTTTCTATAGATATTCATTGAAAATGAAAATACTGAAAATTTTCAATTTAGCACTTTTCCATTACGGTCCATTTTAGAAAAATCATGTATAAACAAAAATTATAAAGACCAATATCGCAAACAACTTTTAGTTCAACAATTTTCATAAAAATTAGAATTTTACACATTTTGTCAAATTTCTCGGATACGGACCATTTCAGGAAATTTTAACATAAAACAAAAATTATAGATAATAATATTAGAAGTAACTTTTATTTGAACAATTTTCTTCTCAAAACATAAATAACAGATATATTCCATAAAATATAAAAACGGCCACCCATAAAGTACCCCCCTAGATGTTCCGACTTTGTCCAAAATCTAATCATTTCACTTCAGGCCGAAATAAACCTTAAGTTTAAAATTTAATGTTTTTTTTTCTTTGTCCGTTTTTGAGTTTTCTTCAAAATTAGAAATTTACACATTTTCTCAAATATCTCGAATACGGTCCATTTTAGAGAAATTATGTATAGAATAAAAATTTAGAGAATTATATTACAAACAACTTTTATTTGAACAATTTTTATAAAAAAATATTTTTTTTACATTTTGTCAAATTTTTCGAATACGGACCATTTTAGGAAAATTTTGTATAGAACAAAAATTATAGATAATTATATTAGAAGTAACTTTTATTTGAAGTATTTTCTTCTCCAAACGTAAATAACAGATATATTTAATAAAATATAAAAATGACCACCTATAAAGTACCCCCCCCCAGATGTTCCGACTCTGCCCAAAATCTAATCAGTTCATTAGACGCTGGAATAAAGCTTAAGTTTAAAATTTGGTGTTTTTCTGTGTATCGGTTCATGAGTTATGCGACCTACAGACACACACACACACACACACACACACACACACACACACACACACACACACACACACACACACACACACACACACACACACACACACACACACACACACACACACACACACACACACACACACACACACACACACACACACACACACACACACACACACACACACACACACACACACACACACACACACACACACACACACACACACACACACACACACACACACACACACACACACACACACACACACACACACACACACACACACACACACACACACACACACACACACACACACACACACACACACACACACACACACACACACACACACACACACACACACACACACACACACACACACACACACACACACACACACACACACACACACACACACACACACACACACACACACACACACACACACACACACACACACACACACACACACACACACACACACACACACACACACACACACACACACACACACACACACACACACACACACACACACACACACACACACACACACACACACACACACACACACACACACACACACACACACACACACACACACACACACACACACACACACACACACACACACACACACACACACACACACACACACACACACACACACACACACACACACACACACACACACACACACACACACACACACACACACACACACACACACACACACACACACACACACACACACACACACACACACACACACACACACACACACACACACACACACACACACACACACACACACACACATCATCGCGAAAATAGTCAAAACGGATTCAGGGGACTTCAAAACGTAAAAATCCGTCGAAAACTCGAGGTCGAAAAAAATCATGATTCCTATACTTTCCTTATATCTGTATACAGATAGGAAAGTAAAAATGTTGAGTATTTAATATCATTATTAATTTGAAAGTAATGAGTATAACTTCAACAATTTTTGGTTTGTAGATATTTAATATGTACTGTTTTTCTGAGAAATTTAAATGGCCTAAACTCCTCGATTAAATGGTTTTCATTTTAATAAGCAATGGGAAATGGTCCATACTCCATACCGGCACATTGGTTACATACCGCAACAGACAATAATGTTACAATACTATAAATATAAATAAAATCGATCATAAATATGCATTACAGAAACTTATTTTAATGTATGTATTGCGGAAATGTATAAATAGAAATAGTCAACTTTATTTGTATTTGTATTTATACATACAGTGTGTATTGTATACAGGTTTTACCGTAAGTAAATCTATTTACCCAACACATAATTTTCATAACGAGAAAATATGTTTTAATACTATTAATAATAATCTTAAGGTCAAAAAAGTGGTTTTATTCAAACACACGCTTGTTTATTTCTTCTTTCTATTGATGATAGTTACATCAGGGTTCCTTGATAACTGCCATTTTTATTTTGTAGTGTGATGAAAATAAATAACAACTATTATAATGTTATATCTCGAGACAAGTCATATCCTATCAAAAACAATCATAACTATAGCAACTACTTTTCTTTAAATGTACAATGTAATAAAAATAAATAACAAGTCCTCTACAACTTCTAACTTTTCTTCTTTTCTATAAACAACTTACAGATTTTTCTTGAATACTTATTGAGAAGGAAAATGGTCGTCATGGTAAATACAAACGTCCGTTTTAGAGGTTGATGTTTTCAGCTTGTTATGAAAGGTGATCCGTTAGGATCCATTCTAGGACCATTGCTTTTCTCACTATATATAGCAGATGTACATAGCTTTGTAAAAAATTGTGTGATTCATCATTTTGCAAGTAATTATTGCAAATTTTCCAACTTGTGCAAGTTTTTCCTCTATAATTTTCAAAATGATCAACTAGATTCTTTAAATAGATTTAGCACACTTTAATATTGTAAGGTATTAGGTATCGGCACTGTAGCCACTGCCTGTCACTGGTGATGTATACGGAAACGGGACGGTAGCCATGGCGGGTGACCTGCAGGCAGGTTTTTAGAGGTTAGTTTGGTTTTAAGTTTTAAGTTGAATGGATTTATGGTTTTGTATCAATGTTGTTGTGCAAGAATAAAGAACATCAATAATCTATTTGATCATCATTACCTCGCCTAAACAAGGTATCTTAGGGGTTAAACCCCTTACAATATCAATCGTTACAATTTGCATCATTTTGCTTGTAATACCAATCTGGAATAAAACATCGTACCAAATTATTACACTCTAAATAAATTTAGCTACTGCATAGCATGGCACTTGATTCTATGTTAAAAGTATCTACTAATTCTAGAAGGATGTAACCTACCAAATTTCAGGCCGAGGTATACACAATTTTGTAATGTGCAGAAACCAACAATGAAAGAGCTTTTGAAAATCAGCATATTCAAATAATGTCAGACAGCCAAGCGGCACTTAAGGCCATATCGAGTCCAAAAGTTACGTCGAGGGTATGGGAATGCATCGAAACACTAAGAACACTGGCAGACCGAAACAGAGTAAAACTATTTTGGGTGCCAGGTCACCAAGGGATCGAAGGCAACGAAAAGGCTAACGAACTTGCAAAAAGAGAATCAGAAGAAACACTGGAACCAGACACAAACCCAGTAGTACCAAAAAGTACAGTCCGTGGTTTCATAAACGACTGGATTCGGGAACAACATATTAACTATTCGAAAAGCACCCCAAAACAAGCACATGGAAAAGCCTTCATAGGCAGACCATGTCCCAAAAGAACTGGAGACTACTCTATGAATAGGAACCAGTTGAAAGTGATAACAGGGTTCATGACTGGGCACGCCCCAGTAGGAAAGAGACACTTGAACAAAATTGGCATATACAATGAGGAACTCATGTGCCGACTATGTCACAAGAAACTAGAAACGGCCAGACACATACTGTGCGAATGCGAAGCTCTAGATCGCAAAAGACATGATCTTTTTGGACAACCCTAGGTTGATCCAACAACGTATAGAACCCACTCACCCAAGGATTTGTACAAACTTGTACAAGGTACAAAGGTGGACAGAGTGGGTACTATGAACTAACATGGGGTAAAACACAATAAGCCAATAGGCTTCATTGTTATTTGGAGACATAGTCAGACGAGCCTAGGAGAGAAAAAAAAGCCTTTTTGAATTGAAGCATGTACTTTTAATCCCGATTTTTCGGATTTTTGCCTGAAATATTAAAAAGAAAGTTGACATAGAAAATCAATAATTAAGTATTCAAGAGAATCTAACTCACCAGAGGATTTTGTTGATTTTCTATAAAAAAAATCTCTCACAGGCCATCCGTCACCTCTTCAGTAAGTACAAACGCCTTGATTTTTTGTATCTTGTATGTATTTGTTTTTGATTAAAGGGTGTAGCCCCCCCAACATCGGCTCGTATATAAAGGAACATCTTTTAACAAAAAGTTCTTTTAACAGGATGAACTTGGTAACTTTCTACCAATCTAGCTAAATCTGATTCAATATTGGTGAGCTGCAGCCTTAAATATATCAAAATGTTTGTAACCACACTGAAGCCTTTTTCGACTAGGTATGATGATGAAAAAGCAATAAAATATTTTTCAACAATATTCGACAATGTTGCGCTGCAACCAGAACTTCCGATAGCCTTGGTTGAACTTCTGCTTCTCGTCTGTGCTTTTCTTGCATTATCATATTGGATTTTTCCATGGCTGTAATATTGTACGGATTTATTATCCATTGAGGAATTTGTAAATTATTTAAGAGATCCTCAAACCTCTCAGTAAAATCCTTGTGAAATGCGTCCAAGTGAGTGACATATGATAAAACATTACTGGTAATTTTAACAAATGCGGAAACTGTGAACATTATTTTCTGCTTACATTTAGTTTATAAAGGATTAATTTACCCACAAAGAGTTACCTCTTAAATTCCAATGATTGCTACAAAATGAACTTACCAAGGCAAGATGTATAGGTAAGGCAAACAGTTTCGACTGTCTGATGAACAGCATTGGCTTCGGTTTCGCTCTGAGTGGAGAAGGCGTGGTCCGTTTAGTATCAAGAAAAGAAAATTGATCGAAAATAGATTTAATAGCAAAAGCAATTGATCGAAAAACCAAATATACATATAATAATAGAAAAATAAGAAAAATGAAAACAAAATTTTTCACTAATTTACCTAACCTGCGCGGCCTAGAATCATCGCTGGTTGCTTCGCAAAACAAATATACAAAAAATGCATAAATAAAAACCTAACTAACGTACTTAATTCACCTAACTTTTGCGGGAGCAATTAGTTAAATTTAAATAGCACAGGTTAGGTAAATTAGTTAAGTTTTTATTTTTCTCATTTTTTTATAATTTTGTTTTTCTAGGCAAACCCCGACGGCTTCAGACCGCACAGGTTAGGTAATTTGTTTAATTTTTTTGGTGTCCGAGCAATCAGTTAAATTGCTCCAGACGGCACAAGTGAGGTAAGTTAGTTAAGTTTTTGTAAAAAAAAACTTAACCAAATTACCTAACTTGTGCGAAAGCAATCAGTTAAAATTAAATTGCGCACAGGTTAGGTAAATTAGTTAATTTTTTTATTTTTCTCATTTTTATGTAATTTCTTTTGCGAGGCAAACCGCGATGGCTCCAGGTCGCACAGGTTAGGTAAATTAATTAAATTTTTTATATAAAAAAAACTTAAAATAATTTCTATTGTCTATTGTCTTTTCGATAAAATGTTATTCGATAAAATATTATCGGGTCGATGGTGTAGCGGTCTAACTCGCTTATATTCATTTATAGGCAAGTTTATGAGTCCGAGACTGCTGGGCTTCGAATCCCAGACCAGATCATGTGGATTTTTAATTAAATTGCATGGTTCGGTTTAGGATTTGATGTGTGCCGTATTAATAGAAAATTCAATTTCTATTAATATGACATGCAGATTATAAAATCGCCATACATTATCGTCTCGATGATGGTGGGTGAGGTTTTCCGGGTTTTCCTCACCTGTAAGTCAAATGGCACCATCAATCATCCTTACCTCGCCCCGGAGCGCCACGGCAAATAATAATAATAGCCGTCCCTTCCCCTACACAAGTCGTTCAGTCGACTTCAGGGGTTGAAATTCACTCGTAAGGGGGTAAATTAGGGAGAATATTATTATTATTATTATCAATAACGTTTTTTTTTTACAGTAACAATGATGATATATTAAAGTCCAGCGCAGGCTTACTCACCGTTAGTTTCTTTTAATGTTATTTTAAAAGTGAAACAGCATAAAATAAAATTAAGTCAAACTCTACTTTAATACAATACAATATAAATTAATTACTATCGCTAATTACATAATAGAAACCGCTAACCTATCGAGAAGTTCCGAGAATTCCACCAGCCGGCAGTTCAAGTTACTTACTTGTTATCTTTGAACAAGTGTTAACCTTATTTTTTTTTACTTTCAGTCTGATGTTAGTCATAAAAATATTATACTTGTTGTTTAAATAAAAGTCCTTTTTTTTTAAAAAACAATTTTGTTATCTTTGCCTTTTTTATCAAAAAAAAATCATTTACCACTTAATCAAGGATTAATATGAAAGTAGTAAAATTTATTTATTTTTTGTTCCAGGTATGTCTTCAGTGTTATCAGTTTTGGGTAAGAGATTCATTAATTAATATTAATTAACGTTGTCGATTCCGTTTGACGGCTTTTAGGTACTCAACCGGCACGTGGTATATTATCGTTTGCGCGACACTTTTAATATCGAAAGTGACCATATGGTCAAGGAGTTACAGTGCATTATATCGTAAAGCAACGCGACATAATCATAATTTCAGTGTCCTCGCGACGTTCGACCCAGACGAAAGAAGGTCCTGCTTTAAGCATTTTTTTAAAGGAAATGATAAATAAATGTGGTGAATTATTATGGAAATCGTGTTCATTTAAAATTAGTTCAGAATATTTACATTAGGTTGCGATTTTTTAATTTTTTATTTAAAGTTGCACAGTCGTTTTTCTAGTCTGCGCATAATTTTTTGAAACTAAAAATGGCAAAAATCCAAATTTCTAAAAAAAATATACAAAAATACAAAATATGAAAGCAACATTTATTTCTATTTGTATACCTGCAGACAATTCCAATCTGTATTTACAGGTCCGTGCTTGCACTCTTTTTTTGAATTCTACTCTTTGATTGCTGTCAGTAGCTTATAAAGTCCATTGTTTGCCAAATCCGACTCTGCCGATGTACGCCTCCGCGAAGTAACAGGCTAGTAGTTTTGGAATAAAAGAAGACATGATGAGCATTGTTGTTGCAATATGCACTCTGCCACCGATAAACAGTTATTTAATTATATTTAATAATTGCAGTGCTGAGCTAGTCATTAGATGGTTTGTGCTTTACCTGCGGGACTTCGTCTTTCTGTTCGATCATCTTTCCGTTTCGAAACCATACAACAACAACAACAACAACCATGGTTGTCGATAGATAGCATTTAGGGCGTGTCTTCGTGCATAGATAGCATTTAGGGCGTGTCTTCGTGCAACGTATTGCAGCATCTACGCATACAATATGGTCATTATACGATTAATATTTTTGACTTTGGAAAAATGTTACTGTTATTCATTATTATGAAGATCCCACTTCGATTAATAATAATAATAATATTTATTCACACATAATAATAATAATAATAATATAAAAGTTTTACAATAATACACAAACATATGTATTGTAACTTCAATGTAAATAAATCATTGACCCCATTAAAACTGTTTAGTCGAGCATGGGAAATGCCAATTTTTATTAAAAATTGAAATTGCCAAAACGCAGTAGATAAAAGAAATTATAATTAAGGTATACATAATGACTAAAATAATAAAATAATAATAATAAGATTTATAACTTATATAACTAAATAATAAAAATTTAAATTGGTAAAAAAAAATATAGTTAGCAAAAATACTGATGCGTGATAAGGGTGTGAATTATATATTGTTTTCCTTGAATCAATCAAACAGTTGTTTAAGCATGTGCCTATTATTTAATATTAAATATGTTTTAAGCAAGGATTTTATCATTGCATGAGAATTGATGGTATTTAAGTATATTTTGTATATATCAGGAAGTGTATTATAAATTTTTAATTGTAGATATTGGAAGTTTCGTTGGCCTACGGTTTTTTTTGCAATATTTGTTGCAATAAATAGTTGTGATCGATTTCTTGTCTGGTATGAATGTTGAATAGGTATTAGTAACTGCTTATTTTTATGTAAATTTACCATCATAGCAAGTGTAAATAGTTGTCTTATATCTAGGACTGCAGATTCTATAAATAATTCGTCTGATGGGTGTGATACTTTTTTGTTATGTATTATTTTTAATATTTTTTTTTTTTAATAATGTTTAATGGTTGTAAGTAGGCGACAGAGACTCCATCCGAGAATCCCGTATCGTAAACGTGATTCCACTAGTGAATAATATACGATTTTTAGATGATATATATCAAGTATAGATTTTAAGTAGCGAAATTTATATAATAAATACCTTACAAATTTCATTTACATGTTTATCCCAGCGTAAATGGGAATCAATTGTTAATCCTAGATATCGAATACTATCGGCTCTGTTTATAACGAGATTTTTTATTTTTAATGAATTATAATTCGGCAAACCATTTTTATAACTAGCAAAAGGAACGAAAAATGTTTTTTGAACATTTACTGTAAGTAACTTGTGACTAAATACATCTATAATTTTTACTAAATCGTTTTCCATTTTAACCTTTAGGTCAGTCCAGGTTTCAGCTGAATATAAGATGGCAGTATCATCCGCAAAACTTATGATACTACCTTCTGTATGGTAGGTTAGTACATTATTTATGTATAGTATAAATAAGATAGGTCCTATTACGGTACCTTGTGGTATACCAAAATTTATTTCTTTTTTACTACTTACCTCTTCTTCTATCCTGACTACTTGATTTCTACCTAACAAATAGCTCTGCATTAAATCATGAACTTTCCCACGTACTCCTGCATCCTCCAAGACATCCAACAGTTGCGTGTGGCTAACCGTATCAAATGCCTTGGCTAGATCCAGAAATACGCAAGCAGTTGGAGTGCTTGCATCAATAAGATTGTATATCTTGCTTGTTAGGGATGTAATGGCATTTTCCGTCGACATTCCTCTTCGAAAGCCAAATTGGTTTTCAGACAGTAAATTATATTTTTCTAAATATGTGGTAAATTGATTTGTTAAAGCTTTTTCTAAAATCTTACTCAGAGTTGTAATTAACGATATAGGCCTGTAATTTGTTTGTAATTTTAGGTTTCCTTTTTTGTGTATGGGAACAATTAAAGTAGTTTTAAATTGTCTAGGCCATAGTCCGGTTTCAAAAATAGTATTTATTAAGTAAACTAAGGGATGGCTAATTATAGATGATACTTTTTTTATAACTTCAGATTTAATGTTATCTATTCCTGGTGCCTTATTTAATTTTAGAGTTGATATAATATTACTTACTTCATGTTCACTAACAGGTAACAGATAAAAAGAATTTACCATTCGCTTATTTTTAGGTGGAGCAGAATTTGGTTTCACTATTTTTTGGCATAACATTTTCCAACTTTTGAGAAATTGTACTATAACATAACTTAACACTTAACCTATAACAAAAAAAAAATCGATTGTAATTGATTCAATGTCAAAAAAAGAATGATGTATGTTTGTTTATTTTTAAACAGCAGTTTATTTATTAATAATTTATTTAAACACTTATTTATTTTAAACAATACTATTTTAATTTATATATACTTCGAATGTCTTTAAACTGATCACTATTTATATTCACCACTATCTATCTACTAATTACTATTTA